CAGTGCGGGGTAGGAGACACTCACAGTGCGGGTTGGGAGACACTCACAGTGCGGGATGGGAGACACTCACAGTGCGGGGTGGGAGACACTCACAGTGCGGGGTGGGAGACACTCACAGTGCGGGGTGGGAGACACTCACAGTGCGGGGTGAGAGACACAGTGCGGGGTGGGAGACACTCACAGTGCGGGGTGGGAGACACTCACAGTGCGGGGTGGGAGACACTCACAGTGCGGGGTGGGAGACACTCACAGTGCGGGGTGGGAGACACTCATAGTGCGGGGTGGGGGACACTCACAGTGCGGGGTGGGAGACACTCACAGTGCGGGGTGGGGGACACTCACAGTGCGGGGTGGGAGACACTCACAGTGCGGGGTAGGAGACACTCACAGTGCGGGGTAGGAGACACTCACAGTGCGGGGTGGGAGACACTCACAGTGCGGGGTAGGAGACACTCACTGTGCGGGGTGGGAGACACTCACAGTGCGGGGTAGGAGACACTCACAGTGCGGGGTGGGAGACACTCACAGTGCGGGGTGGGAGACACTCACAGTGCGCGGGTGGGAGACTCTCACAGTGCCGGGTGGGGGACACTCACAGTGCGGGTTGGGAGACACTCACAGTGCGGGGTGGGAGACACTCACAGTGCGGGTTGGGGGACACTCACAATGCGGGGTGGGAGACACTCACAGTGTGGGGTGGGAGACACTCACAGTGCGGGGTAGGAGACACTCACAGTGCGGGGTGGGAGACACTCACAGTGCGGGTTGGGAGACACTCACAGTGCGGGGTGGGAGACACTCACAGTGCGGGTTGGGAGACACTCACAGTGCGGGATGGGAGACACTCACAGTGCGGGGTGGGAGACACTCACAGTGCGGGGTGGGAGACACTCACAGTGCGGGGTGGGAGACACTCACAGTGCGGGGTGAGAGACACTCACAGTGCGGGGTGGGAGACACTCACAGTGCGGGGTGGGAGACACTCACAGTGCGGGGTGGGGGACACTCACAGTGCGGGGTGGGGGACACTCACAGTGCGGGGTGGGGGACACTCACAGTGCGGGGTGGGAGACACTCACAGTGCGGGGTAGGAGACACTCACAGTGCGGGGTAGGAGACACTCACAGTGCGGGGTGGGAGACACTCACAGTGCGGGGTAGGAGACACTCAGTGCGGGGTGGGGGACACTCACAGTGCGGGGTGGGGGACACTCACAGTGCGGGGTAGGAGACACTCACAGTGCGGGGTAGGAGACACTCACAGTGCGGGGTGGGAGACACTCACAGTGCGGGGTGGGAGACACTCACAGTGCGGGGTGGGAGACACTCACAGTGCGGGGTGGGAGACACTCACAGTGCGGGGTGGGAGACACTCACAGTGCGGGCTGGGAGACACTCACAGTGCGGGGTGAGAGACACTCACAGTGCGGGGTGGGAGACACTCAGTGCGGGGTGGGAGACACTCACAGTGCGGGGTGGGAGACACTCACAGTGCGGGGTGGGAGACACTCACAGTGCGGGGTAGGAGACACTCACTGTGCGGGGTGGGAGACACTCACAGTGCGGTCACATCGTAAGAAGACGAATATGTCAACACCAGAAGAGGGGAACCCCGCATGTAAATTCATCGTCTTGAGCGGAGTACTCGCGTTATATTTACGAAACTGACTAAAATAAACGGGACTTGTAATGTCCTGGGAAGACTGACATATCTCCCAGGACAACAGCTCAAACAGGAGGCCAATCCTGGGAAAAACGGGGCAGGTGTCGACCTGACCCAAGCCCTCGTTGCTGTGAGCCGTGGGTGTTTCCACTGCACCCCGCTGCCGCCCGAAAGGAGCACATTATTGGAGAAAAACAGCGTAATGTCATTAGGGTGTCGACTGCGACCCTACACTTGAGTGATGCACCTAACAGGGGTCAATGGCAGCTGATTGCATGAGTGCAGCCAATTTCAGGTGATTGCACCCGCCGCTGTCGGCGCGTGCTGAGGTCTGCAAAGTGGCTACGAGTGGAGCAGATAACATGAATACCGTAATCGTTCACACGGAGGTACAGGCACCAAATGCGCCACGTATTATCTCATGGGGTCACGTAAGAGAGAAAACAAATTATAGCCACCTCAAAAACACATTGAAGATGGCCGCCATGTTTCCAAGATGGCGGCCATCTTACATTTTTGGTGGCCATCTTAGATTTTTAAATGGCGAGCGTTTTTAAAATAAAATATCCACCATCGTGAATATCTCGAGCAAGTTTCACGCTTGTATCACAATTTAAACGATTCTTATAAAAAAAAAACATGCACTTATCTGCTCCACTATACAACACTTCCTCCATGTCAGCGAATGTTATCGAATTAAGCCAGGGTGTTGATGATGCCGTATGCTAAGCAGAGCGGAAGTCTGTATCTCCACATATAAAAATTGTCGTTTAGCCCATTGGCTTTTGCAGAACAATACTGTAGGGGTGCCACAGTGGCGAGATGTTCACTACCTCGCCTGGTATACAGCAGGTCGTGGGTTCAATACCGACCCTCACACCTGTATATGAGGAACTTGCCCGTTCTCCCCGTGGCTGCGTGGAATTCTTTCCGGGTCCTCCGGGTTTTCCCTACACATTTGGAATTAATACGCGCTTAGAGTATTTGGCTGCTATACATTTCCACAGGATAAGCCACTTCGTTGGGCTATCATTTGTGGCCAGGTCACTTCTGAAAAAGAGCGAAATGGCTCAGTGGGCCGTTCCTGGTAAAATGTAAAATAGTTTTATTTTTGAAGTGTAACCCACTAAAGGTCTAAAGCCCAAACCATCAAACGCATCACCCACGAGCGCACCATCCATGCACACTCTGGCCGTATCGCTGCAATCCGTTCAACGTCAACTACTGCCGCCTTGGATTGGCCGAAGGACCTTAACATTCGACTATGCCACCATCTATACAAACTGTTGCTTACATGACGTACGAAAAAAGAATACGAAGCATAATCCAGCGGCAATTTGTTTAAGCAAGCACACATAGACACGGTTTTGACCTTACGGGGGAGTCTCATCAGGCTGGCAAAAAAAAAATCTTGCGGGGCTGCCAGATGTTCTTGGCGTGAGCGCTCCTCAAATCTAATCGTGGCCGCTCACTGATGGCGAGAATCGCGTGCGACCCCCCCAGTCCGTCCCGCGTCTCAGCATATAAATGAGTTTGGAGGGAAGCAGAATACAAACAGCAGCCTGGGGTGGGGAGGAGAGAGTTGGGGGGGGGGTCGAGCGGTGGTGATCACTTATCAATAACTCATTCGGCCCAGGCTCTGCTCCCCAGGCGGTCTCTTTTGTCCCCTCGCGAGCGAGCGAGCGAGGTGCAGCCGCGTTATTTACAACGCGAACTTCATCGCTGGAGTGGTGGGGAATTTCATTTGATTCGCCATAAATCCACATTTGTGCATTCCCATAAAGAGCGTCCCCGCTAATTAGCGGGCGCGGGTTGGTGGAACGCCTGGGCCGGGCCCCCCCCCCCCACCACTGCCCCCCCCCCACTCCTCCCCCCACCACTCCCCCCACCAGTCCCCCCCAGCTCCTCCCCTCACTCCCCCCACCAATCCTCCCACCATGCCACCACCTCTCACTTAAAACGCCTTTGCTGTGTTGTTGCTGCTTTGCCCACTCGTGTTAAGTCGGACGTATATAAATAAATATATACAATGTATTCATTATTTACTTTTAGTGATTGATTACATGTTTAAACTCTTATTGGTCTTTGTTTTCGTATTGTTTGTTGTTGTTGTTGTCACCTGCTGACCCCGTACCCCCCTCCCCCCCATACCGGACGCGTGTGTGTGAACAAAAGAGCTTCGCAGCTCATCGGATTCCTCCTGCAGTCGGAATAAACATTCTGATTCTGAAATTACGGAGCCCCCCTCCCACTCTCCCCCCCCCCCGAACGAGAGCTATCGTTTGTGACCAGGTCGCTTCTGAAAAAGAAGCTCATAGCTCAGTGGGCTTTACACGGTAGCATTACAAAAACATGTGTTTAGTTTTATAAGTATTAGTTACAAGTGACTTGCTTACCTTTGCACTCCTATCGTGCTTTTGCACTGTTTTGTTGTTGTTGTAACGTTCTGACCCCGTGTCCCGAGTGGACATCTGTGAGAACAGAGCTCTATAGCTCCTCGAACTCCTCTTGCGGCACAAATAAATATTCATATTCCGAAGGAGAGACGCGCGCGAGAGGGAGCGTGGTGCTGGTGGTGCCCGTGCCACGAGCCCCGCTCACCACCCCCCCAGCTCGCCACAGCACTCGCTCAAATCGAAGAAAGCCCTCCGCCTCTCCCGTCACATGTTGACATGCGCTGTCATCATGTGAGGCGCGTTGACGAACGCTGTCGAACGTGGCTTACTGGTGACCACGTCACATTTATACTCCGCTCTATTTAAGACCGAAACTGGAGGAGGATTTCTCCGCCACTCTGACTACCGCCTGATGGTGTTGCTGGTTCTGATTGCCGGCAAATCGTCGTTCTCGAATGGTAAATGTGGTGGGTTTACTCTCCAACGCACCGGTGTGCTGAACTAGTAACGATTTGGCATGTTTTGCTCACGTGACAAGCCTTACTAATTGGCTGTGTCGGGTGGTGGCGGGTTTAACGACAGCAACAATCGCGTATCCACGCGATTGTTGCTGTCCGTTTGACGTTTCAAGCCTTTTTGTGCCTGCTGTGCTCAGCGACTGTGTTGATAGACAGACCGCCTCTCCAACAACTCTCCAACTCTCACGTGGGTCCTACTGGACATCTATTAAAAAAAAGAACTTCATAGCTCATCGAATTCCCCCTGCAGTCTAAATACACATTTCGGTTCTAGTTCCTGAGAATGTGTGGCACCTCGCGTGCGCCTTGTCGTGGGCCCCTACAAATGACCGTGGACTGCAGATTGTTTACTGAAATCCTGGCAGAGCGATTCTAAAACGATGTACGGCACTGCTGTGTTACTGTCCGTGTCTGTGCTGTTCAGCACAAGCAACCGGGGGCAGAAACGCAACACAACGCGCACGTGACCGGAGCAACATGAGCGAGGCAGCGGTCATCCCCATGCGGCTGCGGTCTATGGAGCGAGATCGTGGACCAACAGGAGAAGAGGGAGAGACGCGGAGGGAGAGAGAATGGGGGTGGACGAGATGGGGAAGAGAGGAGGGGGAAGAGAGTGGCGGACAGAACGCACCGCGGTTTGGTGCCAAAGCGAGTCGACAACGGCGAGTGGCTCTGCAGTGGCTGGATGCGGATGCCAATCGGAGCATTTCCCCGGGAGGGATTCACCAGAATGTCCAACGTAATTGCTGCAACAAGCAAGCAAGCAAATAAATAAATAACTCGCGTATATGCAACGTATGGATCCGGGGTGTGTGCATCGCGCTGTCTGGTGGGTGTCCTTTGCAGAGCAAGAGGGAGGGGGCTGTCCCTTCCGAGGATCACGTCCGGTCTATGCAGCAAAATAAAGGGCTGAGTGTGCTCCGTTAATCGTGATGCAGCGGGAGAATTCCTGGAAAGAGTGGCGAGAGGTGGGTGGGGGGGAGCTGGGTGGGGTGGTGGAGTGCAGACAGCCCGCGGTGGCGGTGAGGACACGGCTTGTCGATACGGGCTGTGCAGAGCGAGGGGTGAGTGGTAGAGACGCGGCCTGAATGTGAGATTGGGCGTCTAATGGCTGCTGAGGGGCCCTCTTCCGGGGTGGCAAACGCGGCGGTTTCCGTGAGGGACGCCTCCAACCATCCCACCTGCGCATTCCCATATCGAGGGCTTGCCTGCAACGTCGGCCTCTCTCGCTGGGAGAGAGAGAATAAAAATCCCAAGCGTGCACGTGAGAAAATCGATGGATCGATTTCCCCACCAGCAGGGTACGTGCTATCGGAACAGAGGAAATTATTTCCGTGTATATATTTCATTTACAAATATGTTCGCTGACCGTTAAAGGCTCTGTGGAAATCACTTCTTAGTGTAGAGCAATCTTTTTGTTCGTCTCAGCCTCGTTTTGGCTTTCGACCACTCGAAGAGCAAGCAGGACGAGAGTGTTTCGTATGCATGCACTCTGCATGTGAGGTTAGTTTGGGCGGGTGGGGGTCGTCCGGTGGCAGGAGGTCCCTGACTCGCAGTCAGAAGGCCGTAAGATGTCAAATTTCCCAGCGGGGTCGACTTGACCCATCATCTGTCTGGGACCATTCAAATGCGTATACCACTGTGTGGGAGGTTAACAGCGTCGTCTGGACCGACCGGCCTCCACTATAAGAATGTGGAATTTCCGTCACTGCTTTGCGGCTGCTGCCAACACAGGTGTGTGAGCTGTCCCCGATCATCATTCGAGCTTTACAGCTGTCTGGGGTCAGATCTGTGCTGAGCTGCTCTACTCTTACACTCTTGGTCAGACTTGTTGGAAGAGGTTGGCGTGCCCACACTTTACCCCACCTCACTCGTGGCCTGCCTGATCGACTCCGTACGTACCCGTTTATACTGCTGGGTGGATCGAGGTGGGTGGGGAGTGCGATTTAAGGAACGCGCTCCATTGTTTCGACTGGCGCGGCGGGAGATTGAACCGGCAACCTCTGGGTTGCATCCTCGCAATGCAGACTGCAGTGTCGCACAAATTCTGTGAAATTACGACTTCTACTGATGAACAAACACTGGAGCCATGTGATGTCGAACAACGCTCCACTTTCTTCTCAATGCTTTCAATGTCATTGAAAGTTCTCATTAAAATATTTAGACTGTTCAGGTTAATTTAAATATAAACATTAAGATCGAATATTTACCTGGTTTGTATTTTTCCCTTCTTCAGATTTTAAGATAAAAAAACCATGCGTTTTCCACATCCACTTTAATGTCAGTGTCTCTGGAGAGAATAACTATAATTAATAATTATATTTCCATTAAAGGATTAATCAAGTCTCGGCGAACCGAAATTATAACGCGCAAACCCCCATTGCCTCCACTGGGGCTAGTGGCCTTCAGCGAGCTGCCAGTGCAGATTAAAGCAGAGTCCAGTTTCTGCAATGGGCCAGTGAGCAAACAACTTCTCACTTGCCTCCTTGACGTGAGCGATAGCAGAGAGCTCCACGTACTCAGTTGCTCATGATGTTTCTGTAATATATCATCATCATCATCCTCCTCCTTGGTCAATCCACTGCTGAATGAAGCCCCCCTCCCCAAGCCACCGACGCCTCTCATAATTCTGCAATGGCTCCATCTCCCCAGTGGACGTGATCTCGGGCGCATTCTACTCATTGGCTGCCATTCCATCATTATCCTTGACCATTTGTACGGATTTACGTTGAACTTCGTTCTCACCGTACGTAGTCAACCGCGCTAATCGGAGGTGTGGGGGAAGGACAACGAACTAAACACTCAAAGCAGTTCTATAGAAATTAGTTGAAAACTGCCATCATATGATGAAGGATCAACCTTGTGCAGGCTCTATAATACCCCTTCCGATCTCTATCTCTATTTTCCTCTCTCTCAGAAATATAACATTTCAAAATATGAAATGGAGTTCAGAGTTTCACGGTGTATTTTTTTTTGTTTGACCAAATACTCAACAATATTGATTGCAGCTCCATTAGTTCTCAGGGGAGAACGCCGAGTGCAGAGTTCCGTCAAAGACGGCGTCACATCACTGTCACAGGGTGTGCAGCCACAACAGATAATGCATCCATTTGCATGTGGCACGCTTCCCAGCTGTGGTGCACTTGGCACCATCAGGCCAGGGCGCCATGGTGGCTAGGAGATGTTAACTACCTCGCCTGGTATACAGGAGGTCGTGGGTTTCGATCCAGACCCTGACTCCTGCTGTATATTTGGAGTTTGCGTGTCTCTCTCTCCCCGTGGTCGCGTGGATTTTTCTCCCTGTCCTCCAGTTTTTTCCCTCCACATTTAGAATCAAATCGCGTTTAGAGCATTTAGCTGCTATACATTAACACGTGATAAGCCACTGCGTTGAGCTATCATTTGTGGCCAGGCCGCTGCTGAAAAAGAGCTGTACAGTATATCTCAGTGTGCCTTACCTGGAAAATAAAAAATAGTTTTTACATAAGCCCTCTCATTTACAACAGTATTTCACCTACAGCGGGACATTTTGCCTTAAAACTTTCGTGACTGCAGGAATTCATATGATATGATTCTTTCGGTAAAGTCACGTAAATAGAAAAAACCAATGAAATAATTCATTTTATTTTTATTATTTGATTGTTAATTTTACTATTTACGTGACTTTACCGAAAGAACCATAGAATACAGCGGGACACTGCCGTGGTGTGACAGGTAGCGCACTAGACGAGCAATCCAATGGTCGCCGGTTCCATTAAATATCCCGGCACGGCAATTGAAACTGTGGAACACATTTCTAACCCTCGCCCCCCACAGTACTGTCCACCAGGGGCATAGACTTCTACGTCACAGTCGATCGGCACGTGGTGTGTGGTGGGCTAGAAGTGTGGCTACTCCCACCCCTTTCCGCGAAGTTTGTCCGGAGTGGACGAGTAGGCCAAACACCTTCTAGAGGGGGCTCTCTAGAGCTCCCATAGTGGAGGCCATTTCACCAGCAGTGGCACGAGCAGGCAATTGCGGGGCTGCACCTTTACCCCGTGTTTACCTGCGTATAGAAAGACACAGTATTCTATTCGACGAGGATAGGAAGCCCACAATTTTTTTAATGTACAGAGTGCTTCAAAAAAATGTCAACACCTCCGAGAATTTGCAACAATACCACGCGAAATGAAGCAATTGGCAGGACCCCGGGGTCCCATCACTACCCCTGGGTGGGAAAAACCGCGTAGCGACACGAGTCTTGCCTTACCGACAATAAAACTAGCGTCAATCGATTGGCCTCGTCGAGAGCTACTCGGGGCACTAAGTTTCGTAAAAAGTTGAAAAATTCCATAAACACGTTAAATTCACTGCCTGGGGGGGCGGTGGGGCTCGCCTCGGCAAAGAAGCTGAGGATCGACGGCTGACCGGAGGGCGTCGGACGCCCCCCGGGGCTTGCGTTTGGCCGGTGGGGTGGCGCCCATCGTGTTGATCGCCTGCTGCTGCTGGCGCTTGTTGGCGTGAGTCTGGGCGGGCGGCGCGTTGCTGTCGGGGTCACGAGTGGGCGGACTGAAAAATAATAATTATTATTGACCTGAATTTTGCGGGACCCCGGGGTCCCGCAAAATGATTCAAATGTGCTGCTGCCTCCGGGCTCTGGAGACCACCTGGAGGAGATTCCAGGCCACGTGTTGGCAATTATGGCGAACACGTGGAGGCTCACAGTGTATATTATCCGTTCTTTTTCCATTCAAAACGATAGTCCCATGTAAGTGTTAACATTTCTTTGAAGTGCCCTGTATACAAAGATTAGAAAGGAACACAGCACGTGGGGAGTCACGCAGAGTCCCGGCATGCCGAGCGAGCCCAGAAGGCAGCGCACAGCGTCACTGGTCACGTGCCTGGTCACGTGTGCCTCTATGGATTTCAGAGCGACACGGGAGGAGGAACACTCCACAACTCTGGCTGTCTGTCACCTGGCGATGCCGGTCGTGAATACCGGCGAAACGTCATACTCGAATTGGAAATGTTGTGGGGTTTACTGTCCAACGCACCGGTGTGCTGTATCAGTCACGAATTGGAACGCTTTGTTTACGTGACAAACCTTACTAATTGGCTGTGTCGGGTGGTGGCGGGTTTAACGACACATTGGTATTTACGCGATCAAGCCCCAAAAAAAACCTCTATTGTGGCAGCGCTGTTTGTTGCTGGTCGTTTGACGTGTTAAGCCTTTTTGGGCCTGCTGTCCTAGCGACTGTGTTGATAGACAGACACACACACACCGGCTCTCCAACAACTCTCCACTTCTACAAATAAAACCCCCTCTGTTCTGGAGACTTATGCATGTTGAACTTCTTTCGCTCCGTACGTGCGGGTGCAAAGATAACAAACTAAACACAAAAAGCAGTTCTGAAGAAATTAGGTGGTGTACACACACTGTGTACCCTGTGTGTGTGTGTACACACACACACAAATTTTACAGATGAATTTAACTTGTTTCAATTAATAAATGTCCCCACAAGACCCAACCTAAAAAATCCGGGACTTTCAACTCTGCTTGACGTCCTATTGACAAATGCCCCTCACAATTTCGCACTGACTGGTGTTCTGGGTAATAACCTTAGTGATCACTCCTTCATTTTTGGTGTGAGATCATCAGCCAGACCCAAAGCCCCCCCTAAAATTGTTGAGAAGCACTCTTTGAGGCACTTCAGCACTCAGGCATTTACAAATGATGTGCTTCACTCGGATATTGATAAGGTCTGTGATATCCCCAACCTGACTACGGCTTGGGAGACTTTCAGGTACACGTTTCTACAAATTCTTAACAAACATGCTCCGTTGGTTAGATTTAAAACTAAAGGCAACCGCCCACCATGGTATGATCCTTTGATTACAAAGCTCATGAAAACTAGGGACAAGGCTTGGGCATGTGCTCAGAAAAGTAATTTGGTAAATGACTGGCTAGAATACAGCATTTTAAGGAACA